GTCACTCTTTAGTCCAGCCAATGATTTCTTTTTAATACCGTCGATGCACTTGTGGTAGATTTGTAATCTTATAGATACCGGTATTTCTCCGTGGTCCATCCCGGTAATTTTTAAGTAGTTCTCCCAATTCCCCAGACAATTTGTCTACAATTGTATGACCGCAAGTTTGACCACGGGTTTAGGAAGTTACCACCGAGCCTGCTCTATAAAACCCTCAGAATATTCCGTCGTAGTCTTCCATCAGGCCAGCCGTCCTCGTTACCTTCATCAGCACCACACTTTCAATGATATTAGTCCATGTTTCTGAATAAAACATTATACAGACGCTATTATCATTGTGGCCGTGTCTTTTTTCAACGCTGTTTGGCCACACACATGTATAATTTCTCCTCTGATCCGCATCTTACATTACCAAGCACGTTATAATGATTGATGTATTGTATCTTAAAATAGATTGAGAACTATTGTAGCGGACATAACATGAGAATCATGACACCTGCTTACATTATTTCCTTGTTTACTAGTTTACGCCTTTTATTATCAGCTAACCAGTGAGAATTAATTCGTTTCCGGCTAATATAGTGAAAAGTTTTCGCATGGTTTACGAAAATACAAATACCCTCACGTTAGAGAACGCATCTTTTTAATAATGAGAAAAAAACAGGGATTCTGTTTAACAGAACAATTATGAATTAGGAGTGAAAATAAATAAAGGGTCTAGCTTGAAGACGATCTATTGCTGAAGTTGGGGACGACTTGGCAAGTAGCTGTAGAATTTGCAGTAGAAAGGCTTGCAGTAAAAAGAGCTTGAATGGATGGCGAAGATGTGTTGGGCTATATCATATTTAGGGTTCAAGTGCACAGTCTTTCCTTCCCCTCGACTAAATCCGGTTTCGGAACGGAATTCATGTGGCTCTGGTCCAGGCCACCCCCTGTCCAGCAACGTATGCATGTGTGGTTCAGTAGGCTTACACTGGTAATTTTTTTGCGTAGAGCAGGACAGGGACGAATTTGTAAGTATGGAAGGTTCGATGGAAGGAGAAATCACAGAGAGACTACGGAACAGTCTCTGTTCAGTCCAGTAGTCAAGTGAAGTGTGGAAGGTCACTAGCTAGGGAAGTTATCAGCTCCTTCTCAAGGACTCTTGTGGCTGGTTGCAAGTTCTGCTACCAACTGCCCACACGCGCTGCCAAGCAACCTGCACAAATTGTGTGACCTAATTCTGGGGGACTTAAGATTTCAAAAAGTAGGGCAACAAAATTAATTCTATTACATAATTATTAAGAAGATCAAAATTAGAGCAGGAAAAGTTAAAACAAAGTTGTGGCTCATGTTATTTATTTCCTGGAGACAAGGCTGATAGTTGGTCGTGACACTCTTTCTAATTACATTTGATTAAAAAAAAACCTTTTCTTCCACAACTCACTCTTAATGAAAACACAAAGTTATACAGCATGCATGAAAAAGAACAACACAAACAAGACCTGCTACCTATTCGCTCTTTGTACGATACCGCCATAGGCATGCAGAGCCTCGATTTGGCAGCTTTTTCCCTGTATGTTGGCAAGTAATTTTGGGCATGATGCTGCGTTAGTTCTAATCTGTACTCTGCAATTGGACAATATTTCAAAAGCTGTCAGTTCAAGGCTCTGCATGCCCATGGCGGCAGCGTACAAAGAGAGAATACCATGTACTGGGTGCATGCAATCCACTATTCAAGTGAGAATTTCTGGTCAGCTCATTAGCATTAAAAGTAGCAGCCCATCATTTTTCTGAAAAAGGGGATTGTTTTGCCCCTGAAATGGTGAAAATGTGTAAATCGTTGCCAGGATCAACTGTCTGGGTCTTTGAGCCATCCTATAAGAGCATGCAGAATGGCTAAAAACTACAGCTGAAAAATGGTCCTAAGTGCCCAAGAAGGTTGAGGGTTGCCACTTGAAAAATTGAAAGGAAATCAAAAGATAAGGGACCAGACAATAATTTCATTTGTGTTTCAGCAATCTCAAGGAAGTTGGTATCCATATTATTGGGCCCGAACAGTGCCGATTTTACACTGTTTTCAATGGAGCTTGAATTAGTGGACTGTACCGTACTATGCAAGTACGAGGCACGGACGTATATAAAAAAAACCTGGACTTGCAACGCCTTTGTATGAAAAAGAAGCCAACCAGCGGCTATTTTACCGAGCCGAATACAAAAGCGTGGGCGGTTCCCTTCTATTGACGCCAGGAAGAACAACGGTGGGCATTGCCGGAAAAGCTTTGTATTCGGCTCGGAAAAATGGCTGCGAGTTGATTCAATGACTCTATAAGCTGATTAAGGGCATTGCGAGTCCAGATTTTATTATACACGTCCGTGGTACGAGGGCGGAAATAAAAGAAAACAGTAAAGGCGCCCTCTATAAACACCAAGAAGCAAAGGGCGGCAGCACACGACGCGTCGCGTCGCGCTTCAGGCGACGTAAAGGCGACGCGATGCACGACACGACAGTATGACGCGACGGGCGACGGAAGGGGCGACGTTTAGGCAGAAAAAATTGCAACACGGAAAAGAGCTAAGACAGCACGCCGCGACGGGCGACAGCACGACGCGACGCACGACGTGTGTGTACAAAAGTAATGGCAAGATGGCGACGGTGCGACCCGACGGCACGACGCAAGGGAGCTGTCGTGCCGTCGCGTCGCCTGGAGGGAGGCTAAAGAGAGAGACAAATGTTTGTCGTAAATAGTACACCATACGTTACAGTACACCAGGCTCAACTTTGCCGGTCCATCTAGACGGGGCTGGTTCGCGTGTATGGTGACACTTCCGTTTGACATTATTTCCATTTGTTAGCGTTGCAGTTTGCGTCTTGATTGCATTGCTCTCTGCGTTTCTCACGTCGATATAAAACCAGGCTTAATTATGTAGATACGTCTGGGTGCATCCCACCAAATCGTTGTATTTCTGCGCGCGAACTCATTAATATTTTGTGATCTCGCAGGGTTTTTACAATGACATGCCAATATCAGGAGGGATCATCGAAATATTTTTATAAATCCCGAATTTGGGAGTTGTAGTTTTCAGTTGAGGGTATTTCTTTCACAGAAAGCCCCAACCTGCGGGCCTATTTGGATTGAGGCGGACGGCTACTTTCACAGCTGAGCGAATTTTACTACTTTGGGGGTATCGTCGGGGCCACGTATGTTCATGCCCCTCACTTAGTTTGCGGCGCGCATGAGGCCCAGTAAAGTGGCTGTTGACTCGGACAGGTGGACCCCAAAAGTAATCGGTCAGCATCAGGAAAACGTTTTTTGCCCCTCATTACGATACCGATTAGTATTTACACGCTCAAAGTCTCTTTTGCTAACTTGTACACGATAAAAATCCATTTTCGGTTAGATTTTTGCCCGTCTTTCGTACGTACCTCTAACGGTAACTGAGTCAGAAAGTTCGAAAGTGAAGCTAAAATTTTAGAGGGGATTTTTTTCAGTTTTGCAGAGTTTTCCCTGACATTTCTGTACTTATGAGTGGTGATAAAAAACGCTCTGATGAGAAAGTATCATGCAAGAAGGAAACCG